CCCAGGACAATTTACTCGGCAACAGTGCTTGCACTGCGCCACGCGGCGCCGCCAGGACCAGCCCCAGGGGAAGCGCGGTTATCTTCGCACCACGCGCAGCCCCACGGGCAATGGGGTCCACGGCACGCTTCGCGCGCTACCGCGCCGAGAGCCTCTCGCGCTGCGCCCGCTCACGGAAGCGCCGCTTGCTCTCCAGTGTGCGCAGGTCGTCTTCAGGCTCTTCCCGCTCCCAAGGCGGGATGTCTTTGTCGACAGCTACGTCCGAGAGGCTCACGCAGCTGCTCTCGAAGTTGCCGATGTGGTACTTCTCATTCTCGTGTTTGACGTCGTAGTTGAGGATGGCTTTGGAGCTCAACTTCCCATCGTGCTTGGGGTCCTTCACGCTCCCGAGGCCCGCTTTGGTGGGCGTGTCGATCGACTGCGACCGCACGCCCTCCATGCTCGTACCGTCGGTGCCCGCCTCCACGTGGAGGTCCTCGAAGTTGTCCTGCCGATCGCCCTCGGGGTCCTTGTCGCCTGGCGCCTTCGCCACGTCGGTGGCCTGAACGAACTCCTCCGAGGCGAACGTCTTCCCGAGGCCCGTGCTGATGACCGTGGTGGCGCTGGACGTGACGACCGACGGCAGCAGCGCGCCCTCCGTGTTCATGCCGCCCGTCAGGTACATGCCCCCGTCCTCCTGGAGGCCCGTCGGGATGGCGGCGCAGGGCGCGCCCTCGAAGGCAGTAATCTGCTTGCTCTCGGAGGTAGTGTCGCTCAGCCCCTCGTGGACCACGCTGGAGAGGCCGTGCAGCTTCTTCACCACGTCAGTGGCCTGATCGAGCTCCTCCGAGGCGATGGTCTTTCCGAGGCCCGTGTTGGTGACCGTGCTGACGATGGACGTGTTGACCGACTGCCGCAGCGCGCCCTCCGCGTTCATGCCGCCCGTCGGGTGCACGCCGACGTCCTCCTCCTGGTCCCTCGTCTTGGCGGCGCTGGCCGCGTCGCTCTCCTTCGCGTTGGGACCGGCCTGGGGCTCGCTCTTCGGCACCTTGGAGCCGATGGCCTGCTGCTTGATGTCCTGCACGGTGCGCTCCAGCTCCACGATCTTAGCCAGGAGGTTGGAGATCACGGACTCCTTCTGGCCGATGTGCTGCTGGTACTGCCGCTGGAGCGCGTCCATCTCTAGGATCTTCTCAGCCAGAAGCTCGCGTACGCTGGACTTCTCCTCGAACTTGGTCTCGCCGAGGATTTGCTCGTCTGCGATGCTGGGCGTGTCAGTGCTCGCGAGGTCGAGGTACTTGAGGTCGCCCTCTTTCACGAACTGGTTCTGGTGCTGCAGGTCGTCGTCGAGATCTTGGCGTTTCTTCCGCCTGGGCCCGCGGGCGCGGCCCTTGGCCTCCTGGGCCGAGGACGGGACCGACTCGACGCCCTGCCCGAAGTCCTTGTGCATGGCCCAGTTCCTGAAGGCCCTGCTGCTTCCTGAGTGGCGCGGCTGCTCGCCAGCGCGTCCTGCCGTCACTTTCTCGACCAAGTGAGCCCTGGCGACTCGCTCTCTGGCCGCCACCTCCGGGTCAGCAGCTTGGGGATCGAGCACATCTCCACCGGTGCGGATGGCGGCCGCGACCGCCGCGGCCACGAGGTGGCGGGAGCCGCCCCCTTCCGCCGCGCCTGCCGCAGCCGCGCGCACCAGTGGCGCGAGCTCGGCGGTCACCCAGCCGCGCACAACCGTCGCCATCCCAAGCAGCAAGCGGGCAGGCGCGCGCCCGCCGCGGCCCGAGCAGCTTGAGCCAAAATGGCTACGGAAGGAGGAGGAGGAGGAGGAGGAGGAGGAGGAGGAGGAGGAGGAGGAGGAGGAGGAGGAGGAGGGCGGAGCAGGATAGGGGCAGACAGCAGGCACACGATGGCGTCGGGGGTCTGGGTTTTGAGGGTCCTCAAAACGTGTGCTGCGCCAGCGTTTGCTTGTCCACCGAAGCCCTTGGAGACGCGGCAGCCGATGCAATGAGGACCGATCGGGGGGACACGCACACACACACGCACACACACAGACACACACACAGACAGACACACACACCGATACAGACACGCAGACACAGACACAGGCACAGGCACACAGACACACAGACACAGGCACACAGACACACACACACACAGACAAAGACACACACAGACACACACACAGACACACACACACACACAGACACACACACACACACAGACACACACACAGAGACACACACACACAGACACACACAGACACACACAGACACACAGACACATACACACAGACACACACACACACACAGAAACACACAGACACACACACACACAGACACACATACACACAAACACACAGACAGACACACACAGACACTCAGACACACAGGCACGCAGACACACAGACACACAGACACACAGACACACCCACCACCCACACACCCACACACCCACATACCCACACACCCACATACCCACACACCCACACACCCGCACACCCACACACCTACACACCCACATACCACCCACACACCCACACACACCCACACACCACCCACACACCCACACACCCACACACCCACACACCCACACACCCCCACACACACACAAACACACAAACACACACACACACAAACACACACACACACACACAAAAAAAAACACACACACACACACAAACACACACACACACACACACGCACGCACGCACGCACGCACACGGCACACGGCACACGGCACACGGCACACGCACACGAACATAGACACACACACACACACACACGCACGCACGCACGCGCGCGCACACACACACACACACGCACGCACGCACGCACGCACGCACTGTTTCGGTCGCAGCGGATGGTCGGCGACTCGGCGACTCACCACACCGTCAGACGTGCTGGCCGCGCGTGGAGGACGGCACGCGCGCCCAGTAGTCAAAAGAGAGGCACGGGAAAGGCAAGACGGCCGACCCCTCACGGGGCAGTTGCCGACTGCGGCGCCGAGGCGCTGGGGCGCCGAGGCAGCGGGCAGGGGCCGGCCGGCGGGGCGGCAATGGGGGTTGGCCGGGCGGCGCCCACAGGGCGGGGCGCCTGGGGCGGGGCAGGGCAGCGGGCGAGGGCGGGACAGCGAGAGGGGGGCCGCGCGAGAGCTGGGCGGGAGCAGCGCGCGGCCCGCGGCCGCGAGCCGAGCAAGAGGGCCGACCCCCAGGGCGGAGGCGGGCGGGCCGAGGGGCCCAGCGGGGCAGTGGCGAGAGCCCACAACTGGGGGAACGCAGGGGGGCCGGCACCGCGAGGGGGCGGGCGCCGCCCGGGGAGGGCCGCGGGCCGCGAGGCGCGGGGGGCTCGGGGCGGGGCGCGGCGCGCCCGAGGGGCTGGCAAAGCTGGAGCGGGGCGATCTCCGCCGGGGGTCCACCCAGGGGAGCGAGCCAAGCCAGGAGGGCGCGGCCGCCGAAGCACCGACCCGAGCAGGGTCGAGCCCCCAGGGCCCGCAGGGCGTCGCGCGGGTGCTCCACAGGACCCGGGGCGCGGCGCAGCGCGCGGGCACGAAGCGGGGCGAGGGTGCGCCCAACGAGCGGCGGCACAGCGACGAGCGGACGCCGCCAAGCAATGGCAGGCGAGCCGCAGCGGGGACTGGACTCAAACAGCAGCGCAGATGCTCTCGCAGCAGATCTGGAGGAGGTTGGCGTCGTAGGCGGTTTCCCAGGGGGGCGCGAGAGAGTCATGCGGCCTGGCGGCAGCCAGGACGAGCTGCCCAACCCTGGGCAAGGCCCCTGGACAAGGCCGTTCCACAGGAGATTCACTGCCCCCAGCGCGAGGGGTTGGGAAGGGGCCGCCAGTCGGGGACGTTCACGTGGAAGCTGCTGCACCGGCAGCGCAGGCAAGCGAGCGGTCGGAGCACGCACACAGACACACCCACATACACACAAACACACACACACAACACACACACACACATATATTTTCCGCCGGCGGCGAGGCAGAAACAATCCGCACCAGCGAGGGGCTAATCGGGACAACCGAAAGGCGAATGGTCCCGCGTGCAAGAGGAAGGAAAGGAGCACACACACACACACATTCGGCCAACACGTGTCCTGAGGATCATCGGACCCGCTGGGAAGTCAGGGGTGTGGCTGCCCCAAATTAGAGGCCTCCTAAATGGGGTTGGATAGGCTGGGGCAGGAGGACCGCGCCGCATCGCCGATACATCGGCGATACATCGGCGATGCGTGGGCGATGCGTCGGCGATGCATCGGCGATGCACCAGCGATGAGGCGTCGACGTGGGCGATGCATCTGCGACGTCGACGTGAAGGAAATCGGGCTCCACATCGAGCCGCATCGGCGATGCACCGGCGATGCGGCGCGATACTCCAACCCCATCTACTCCGACCCATCTAGGAGACCTAGACACATCGGGAGCTCCCCGAAGAGTCCTCCCTGGTAGACGTGGCGGGCTTCGACGAGGCGGGGCGTCCCCTCGAAGGAGGACGCCGCTCCCCCCATCCCTCGCCCGACCCGGCATCCGCTCGAGCAGGGCCCCCCGGATCCTGGGCCCACCCCAGCAGGGTCCATCGCTGCGATGGCCCCTCCCAGATGCATCTGGGTCCACCGTTACGATGGACCCTCTTGGGATGGGCCCAGGATCGTTCTGATCGTCCTCTTGCGTGACGGTACAATCGGTGGTGCGAAGTCGTCCCCGCCCGTCCCCAGTGGAAGTTCCGTGTGCCGGCACCAGGAGTGCTGACAAGGTGTTAAGTCGTCCCCGCTTTCCCCGTCCAGTCGTCCCTGGTGCAGCGAGAGAGTGCGCAAGCTTTGTGACGGCCGCGGCGCCCTCTCGAGAACCGAAAACGGACAAGTCACTAATCGACGTGTCAGGCTGGGGGTTCTGTCCACCCCCGACAGCTTGGGATGGGCCCCAAATCGTTCTGAATCGTCCTCTTGCGCTACGGGAGCGCAAGGCTGCGGGGGGGGGGGGGCGATCCACCGAACAGCCTCCGAGCCTTCGGGCTTCCGCTAAGGCCTCGGCCCCGCCCAGGCCCGCCGACTCCGCCGCGAGGCCCGGCGAGAAGGCGGGCGGAGCCCCTCTCGGAGAGCAGTGCTCCTCCTGGCCGGGGGGGCCCCCCGCTCTTCGCCGCAGCGCCCCCCTGGGAAACCGCCGCGCCAACATGCCCTATAGCCCCAAAGCCCCAACAGCCCCATAACCCTGAAAAGATGATGCTTGGGGCTGCTCTCTGGCATCCTTGCTGTTGTGGTCATCGGCGCGGGCCCTCGCACCCACCCACCCCTCTGTGGAGTAGATCTTGGCTGTTTTTGGTGCCCGTGTCAAGCAGGCGGAGGCTCCCCCCGGCAAACTTCGGAACCACCAAACCCCGCTCCTCAGTTCTGCCGCGTGAGCACGGCCCCCAGCCATTTCTTATTGTCCTCATCTGGACTCCTGAGAAGAAGGGCAGGGGGGGAAGAGGCAGCGGGAAGGAAAAGGAGGGAGGAGGGTGAGAAGGAAGAGGAGAAGGAGACGGAGGGAGGGAGGGGGGAGAAAAGGGGCGAATCTTATAATATTAACACAAATAGCGGAGGCAGGGTCGACGCGCGGGGTCCGTTACTATTAGTAGAAAGGGTCGTGAAGCAAACGAGTAGACACCGATTCTGCCCATCTGTGCATCTGCGGCCTGGCGAAGCGTCGAATTGAAGGGGCCCCAGGACACACAAATAAATACACACAAATAAAATAATCCCCCATATTTTCCAATATTTTCTGGGTTTCTGTCTTCCCCCCCACTTCCCATAGTTTCCCATATTTTCTGGGAATCGCCGATTAATTGTGTCTGTGTGTTTCTTCCCCTCCTGACGAATGTCTCCCACGTGAACCTGGCCCCCAGCAACTCCCGAGCCCCCCTCCTGCATCACAGAGGCCTGCCCGTCCCAGGCCCCGAAGCGGACCTCCGAGGGCCGAAGGCCTGCGTCGGGGCAGCAGTGGCTGGCGGCGCGCGCAGGAGGGTGGAGGGAGGGGGGAGGGCTCCTTAGGAGGCTGCTTCTTGGAAGGCGCCGGCCTGACATCTACAGACAAGGCCCGCGCCCTCTAAGAGGCAGGGGTGCTTCTGAGAAGCCCTCCCCCTCCCCCCAGCCCCCTCTGCGCGTGGCTGAGGCGGTGGACAATCGTCCTCCTCGTCCTCCTCTTCCTCCTCCTCCTCCTCCTCGTCCTCCTCCTCCTCCTCCTCGTCCTCCTCCTCCTCCTCGTCCTCCTTCTCCTCCTCCTCCTCCTTCTCCTTCTCCTCCTCCTCCTCCTCCCCCTGCCCCCCTCTGCGCGTGGCCGAAGTGGCACGAGAGAGCCGACGTAGCCGAGCCCACCGACCGCAGCACCCCGGAGCCCAGCCGAGCCGACCGAGCCACGGCCACCCTGGGGAGCGGAACGGGCGGGGGCCAAGGCCCGGAACACCCGCAGGAGCAGTCGGAGGAACGAAGAGGATGAGAAGGGGGACCGGACGGACGGCGCACCTACGCGAGAGGGGGCGCGCAGCGCGCGGGCGCGGCCGCAAGGACCCCAGCCCTGAGAACCCGCGCGCGAGGTGCGCCCGAGGGGAAGCCGGGAGAGGCGGAGGGATGGAGGGAGGGAGCGGGAAGAGCAGGGCAGAGGAGGGGGGAGAGGCTCTCCTCCCCCCCCCCGCCCGCCCAGCGCCGATCCCCTCTGCGCGCCGCCGCAGGCCAAAACAAAACAAACCACACGAGCACGGGCGCGGGGCCCCCCCCCCCGCCAGACGAGGGCGGGGCCAAAAACAACACGAGCACGGGCGTGGGGCCGCCCCCGCCAGACGAGGGCGAGGCCGGGCCTCTCACGCGTCACTTCTCGGGCAGGCGGAGGGCGGCGCGCCACGGCTGCTCCAGGAAGGTGTGACCTGCCGCTCGGCGGCCAGGGGGGGGTGGGGAGGGGGGATGGAGGCGACGAGCGGAAGGGGCCTCGCCTCGCCGCCCCCCCTTGGTCCTTGCTCTCCTCCTCAGGCTTCTCCTCCTCCTCCTCCTCCTCCTCCTCCTCCTCCTCCTCTTCCAATCTCCTCCTCCTCCTCCTCCTCCTCCTCCTCCTCCGCCCTCCTCTCCTCCTCCTTCTCCTTCTCCCCTGCCCCTCCATCCGCATCCCTCCTCTTTCCTCTCCTCCTCCTCCTCCTCCTCCTCCTCCCTCCTCCTCCTCCTCCTTCTCCTCCCTCTCCTCCTCCTTCCCCCTCCCCCCGCACCCTCCTCTTCCCTCTCCTCCCGCCTCCTCATTCTCCCCTCCTCCTCTCCTCCTCCCTCCTCCTCTTCCTCCTCCTCCTCCTCTCCTCCTCCTCTCTCCTCTCCTCATCCTCCCATCTCGTCCTCCTCCTGCTCCCCTCCTCCCTCCCTTCTCCGCCTCCTCCTTCTCTCCTCCTCCCTCCTCCTTCTCCCCTCCTCTCCTCCTCCTCCGCCTCCTCCTTCTCTCCTCCCCCTTCTCCTCCTCCTCCTCCTCCTCCTCCTCCTCCTCCTCCTCCGCTCCTCCCCCCTGCCTTCAAACGGCGCACACCACTCTGCGCCCCGCCGACTATCATCCCTGGAAGGGCGGAGCATCATATCGACACAGAACCATCAGGACGAATAGAGCTACAGTGTCAGACGTTCTGCCATTGGGAACACCTGTCCCAGGGCGAATGGGAAGCCTTTCCCCTGACGTGCCATCGTAAGGGTATCCGCCAGCAGGGCTGAACCTAAACGGTATTGTTTCGCTGTTGTTTTGTTTTCGTTTCCCTCGTTTTGTCTTCAACCCGCCTTTACCGCAAAACGAAGTCGAAACGAAAACGGCACACGAAATCGCCGAAACATCGTTTAGGTCCAGCCCTGTCCGCAAGCCCCCCTTGCGGGGCCACCAGGCTGCGAGGGTGAGGATTGCAGCTCCCTCTGCCAGTTGCAGTTCCCAGTTTCCACTGATACAGTCCTGCTTTCAGCTGCCTTACTGTTGATTGTTGCTGAACGCGCGACGGGGGGCCCCTGTCTCCCTGGTGATCTGCTCGGTCGCGAGAGCTAACTGGCACTTCTTTATACATGATACCGGAGAAAAACCCCAATCAGGGCTATAGGGCTAGGGGGCTATAGGGCTATTGAGCTATAGGGCTATAGAGCTATAGGGCTATGGAGTTGTAGGGCTATAGGGCTATTGGGCTATAGGGCACCCCCGGGCACGCCTGAGCACCCCCGGTGCACCCGGGCGTGCAGTGAAAATCGGCGGCCAACCTCACCCCCGGGCACCCGGGCACCCGGGCGTGCGGCGAACATCGGCGGCAAACCTAACCTAACCATATGAACCCGCTAGGACCCCTACAGAGGCAAGCTCTGATTGGGGAATAAGTATGCACCTGGTATGTTGTATGGAATGCTTTGTAAAGGCGCACCACTTGCGGCCATATAAAAAGACAGCGTTTGATTAAACAGAGAAGACGTTAATCCACAGGAGCTAAGCGGCATTGGCTGGAGCCAGGCTACATCCTGGTCGTGGGGAAGGGGCGCAACAAGTACAACACAGGCGAACATACGAAACCAGAGGCGGGGGAACAACATACCGACACGTGGATGCCAACACACTGGCGTACAATCGAAGCCTAGATCAACGAACCGACCTCTCGATGACCCACGGAACCTTCGAAACAGATGCTGGTGTATGCTCCGCTGGTTGGTCACTGTATGTGGACCTATTGGAATGTGACAAAAATCAGGCTTCAAATGGCGTCGGACAGAGTAGAAATGACGCAGATGTCATGAATAAGACATGACAATTAGCAGTTGCAGACCCACCTCCACCTCAGTGCCCAATCCTGGCTTTGGGTAATCCCTTTTCCCTTCATTCCTTCCTTCCTCGACCTCGTCCTCGACCTCGTCCTCGTCATTGTCCTCGTCCTCCTTCTTTCTGTGTTTGCGTTTGTTCTCGAACTGTTTTTTTGTTGTTTTCTTCTTTTTGTTCTCTCTCTCTCTCTCTATCTCTCTCTTTCTCATGTTCCCTTTCTCCCTCTCACGTGACAACCGGCGGCCGACCCAGGATCGAGGCCATTAGCAGGCTCGTGGAAAACGTCCATGTCAGTCCGTTCCAGCCCGTCCTCGGGAGGAGGACGAGGAGAAGGAGGAGGACGAGGAGGAGAAGGAGGAGGAGGAGGAACGCGACATGATCTGACGACAATGAGTTGCAGCAGCAGCCCGCCCAGGATCGAGGCCTGCAGCGGACTGGCGGAGAATGCCCCGGTCAGCCCATTCAGGCCCATTCCAGTTGCACCTCCATCCCCCTTGCCGTCGTGACTCCCCCCTCCATCCCCCCTGTCCCCCTCCCTACATCATTCCCCCTTCCCCCCGCCATCCCTCCCACCCTCTGTCACTCATCCCCCCGGCCCGCTCCCCCTCCCTCCGGCCCTCTCCCACTCCAGGTCTCGTTCCCTTCCATCTTCCCCGTCGCTCCCTGTCGCCCTCTTTCCTCAGACCCCCCAACCTCACTGCCTGCCCCCCGCCCCCCCTGGTGCATCCTTCGCCGCCACCGAAATGTGGACGGAAGCGGAGTGGGGAGTAGAAGTGAGGGCGGGAGGGGGGGAACAAGAGGAGGATGATGGGCAGTCATATGAGATGGAGGAGGCGGAGGGTTGAAGAAAGTAGAGGACCCCGCGTTCACCCAGGGCATTCATGTCAACTCGATCGCGCTCTCTATGAACCCAAAGGGGGGGTACAACTTGTATGTACCCGCGTCTGTTCGCTAGGTCTGGAGAGCCACGCGCGAAGGCAGATGCAGCGGTTTGCTGCCTACACGGGGGCCTGGCCTTTGGCCACAACAGTCAGGGCACACATGACTCAAACAAAGCGTCAGCGGAACCTGCACACAAACTCCTCCACATTACCTGACACTCAGGCCCCGAAGGCAGCCCATTGAATTGGCAGGCACAATGCAAGCGCTAGCAGGAGGGTTGCAGTCAGAAGCACAGTGAAGCCAGCTCGTAGACAGTGGAGCCCCCACACTAGCTCCCGCACATCACTTGGCACCCGGGCCCCGAAGGCATCCGACCGGCAGGCAACAAACAAAAAACGCGAGTTGGAGGGTTGCAGTGAGACGCGCAGCAAGGCCCGAACCATGTCCTTCTGTTTGCAACTCAAGAAGGGCACACCAACAAGGGAGAGCGGCTGCGGCGTGGACGTACAAGCGCAGGAGCACGTGGCCATACTCGAACATTCTACATAAAAATGAATCGCCCACATCTCGTCGGTTGTGTTACCACTAATTTCGCCACGTTGCCCCCCAAGGCCCTGCTGGAAGTGAGGTTCGCACCCGATAACGGACCAGCTCGCCCGCGTCGGCTGCAACACCCACACCATTACCCTTGAGCGTGCAGTGCGTCGTCGGCATCTCCAGTGGAATCAGCAGGTGCAGAGGACGTTCTGGTTGGGTTTGGGCGACAAACAGCCCCTGGGCTGCATTGTCGTCGTCGAGCACCAGTCCTGCTCCGTGGGAGCTGAACAGCGGGCGCGGCTTCTCGGGCTTGCTCGGCCGGTCGAACGTCAGGAACAAT